CAGATGTCCTAAATAGCACTCTGGCCTCAGAATCAGCCCTAAAGGCATTCGGATCTGGCTGAAAAGCCCATGAGAGTATTTCAGGCATGGAAAGCCAAGACACTCTGGCAAAAGATCTCTGTGAGTGAGATCCCAGTGGAAAGAACAGGTCTTCAAAGAAGGAGGTACCTTTCTCTGAAGGGAGGAGAGAGCCTCCACTTTGACTATGACCTTGTCTAAACAAGATAAGAGTCGGAGAACTCAGAGGGCTTCCATAGCCTTGGAAACTCATGACTGGAGCATAGGGAGATTACTGATGCCATAGACAGGAGTGTCGATTGGTAAAGTCAACAACAGGAGTCACTGTGCACTTACTCCTCATGTAGGATCTCTGTCCTTAATGTGCTGTACATTGAGATTTAATGCTATAACGAGTACTCAAACAATATATTTCACTTTGTGTTTCTATGCGGGTGCAAACTGTTGAAATCTTTACTTAATGCATGCTAAACTGATCCTCTGTAAAAAAAAAAAAAAAATTATCAATTCCCAACTTGACTCTCACTGGGATTAAACATGACAATAGGTCTGATCTGATTTCATCATCATTTAAAAAAAATCATCTATTATTTTTCACTTTATGTTTCTGTGTGGGAGCAAACTGTTGAAATCCTTACTTAATGTATACTAACCTGATCTTCTGTATATTAAGATAATCGAAAATGAGTCTTGATGTGAATGGAAGGGGAGAGGGAGTGGGAAAGGGGAGGGTTGTGGGTGGGAGGGACGGTATGGGGGGGAAGCCATTGTAATCTATAAGTCGTACTTTGGAAATTATATTCATTAAATAAAAGTTAAAAAAATCCAGATTACACTAAAATATGACTAGCTGTTGTCGTCATTCTGTGCATTAAGTATCTAGATGTGTTTACCTTTCACAACTGAAGCTTTATACTCTGAGCGACACCTCCCCATCCTCCTCATCTATTGCAATATACTGGAATTTTGTAGATTCCACATGTAAGTGATCACATGTGACTTTCTCTGCATCTAACTTCTCACACATGGCACACCAACCACACAGCTTCCTCTAAGTTGTCACAAACAACTGTGTTGAATAAATTTCTTCTATTCATTTTGGTGAGGGTTTTTATCATGAAAGTAGGCTGCGCTGTGTTGAATGCCTTTTCTGCATGTATGGAAAGTACCACGTAGCTTTGAATTCATTCTGTTAATGCTGTGGGTCACACTGTTGATTTGTACATGATGAGGCTACCTTGCATTCCAAGAAAAGTTGCATTTGGCCTTGGTGTCTGATCACTTTAATGAGTTGTTGAACTTGATTTGCCAGTATTTTATTAAGGGTTTTTACAACTTTGTTTACCTGGCACATTGACCTGTAGTTTTTTTTGTGACATCTTTGGGTAGTGCTGGTATCAGGGTGCTGTTAGCCTAACAGAATAAGTTTGGAAATATTCCTCCTACTTCTGCTTCTCATAAGAGTTTAAGAAGGATGGTGCGAATTCTCATTTGACTGTTTTTTAGAATCCAAATCTGAAGCCCTCTGTACCTGGACTTTTTCACGCTTGCTAGATGATGTTTAGTTATTACTCCAATACCTTCCTCTGTGTGCCAACTGTCTATTTCTGCTTGATTCAGTCTGGGTAGACTGTACATTTCTAGGAATTTCAGTGTTTCCTTCAGCTGATCTAATTTGCTGATATCGAAGTGTGCACAGTAGCATCTTATAATCATTTTAATTTTGGAGAAATCTATGTTAACGTCTCTCCTGTTTTTTTTTCTTATTTCACTTCAGTCATCTTTTTTTCTTAGACCAGCTAAGAGCTTTTCAATTTCTCTTCATTTTTGACAAAAGAACCTTGCGCAGATCAACACTTTTTCTAGTATTTTATTCTGTTTAATTTTTTGTTCAGATATTTATTACTTTTATCATTCTGCTAATTTGGTGTTTACTGTTTTCTTCTTTGCAGAATGGGAAAAGCATCAAAGAATGGGCTCCTACCATCCACGTGGGAAACCTGGAGGAGCTCCTTGCTCTTGGCTTCAGCCTGGCCCAGCCCTGGCCATTGCAGCCATCTGGGGAGTGAACCAGAAGATGGAAGATCTCTCCCTGTCTCTCCCGCTCTCTCTGTAACTCTTACTTTCAGATAAATAAATATTTTTTAAGGATTTATTTTATTTATTTGAAGGACAAAGTTACAGAGAGAGGTAGAGACAGAGAGAGAGGTCTTCCATCCGCTGGTTCACTTCCCAGATAGCCACAATGGCTGGAGCTGTGCTGATCCAAAGGCAGGAACCAGGAGTTTCTTCCAGGTCTCCCATGTGGGTGCAGGGGCCCAAGGATTTGGGCCGTCTTCCACTGCTTTCCCAGGCCATAGCAGAGAGCTGGATTGGAAGAGGAGCAGCTGGGACTCCAACCGGCACCCATATGGGATGCCGGTGCTTCATGCCAGGGCTTTAACCCGCTGTGCCACAGTGCCGGCCCAATAAATATTTTTTTAAAAGAGAGAAAATGGCAACTACCTATCTGTCTTTGCTGGAGCCAGTCTGAGTGTTTATGTGAGTTACATGACTGATTGAACAGTTTGCTGGAAAAGCTGGCTTAGACAACCTAAATTCAAAGAAATATAGCATTTTGCCAAAATAATTACTTGAGTAACTGTATTATTTTAATGAATTTATTTACATCTGTTGATATATGGAGAAACCTAGCAGTAGGGGAAAGAAAGTGGTTCTGTGGGGAGAAATCACCAAGGTCTGTCTTGGAAGGGACAAGGCCCCTGCTCGCGTGGACCGGCCATCTGAACGCACCCAGGGTGACCTGACTTTTTCTGACTCTAGTTTCCAAGCCTCTGTATTTCTGTATGGGAGGAGAGGCTGGCAGGGAACGTCACATTGCAGAGTGTGAGGGACATTGATTTTCTAATGCACTGCTGATTACATAGTGGAAGGCTCCCTGTGTTTGAGCTACCATTCCTACTCTCGGCCTCGAATTTCTTGCCGCTCTGTGTCAGTCGCTATGTATTTTCTGCCCGAAAGTTTTATGCTCTCCTCAACCTCAGTGGAACTCTTTCTGTGTTCTGTTAGCCTCCTGGCAGTTCCCACTGCTGCTGCTGCTGCATATTCGTCTGGAGCTTGAAGATCTCAGAGTTCTGACTCACGGTGTCCACCTTCCTCAGGTCTGTTCCGCCGAGGCAGGATTTTCTCCTGCTGATGACAGCAATGACTTGGCTCTCAGCTTCACCACCCTGATCAGATCCCAGTCAGGACTCTTGGGAAAGCAAAAAGAGGCTTTAAAAATGGACAGCATACGATGCGTGTACTTTTAACACCAGTGTCTGTAGTGAACTTTCAACTCCTAGAAATAGCTGCATATGCTATCGTGGCAGAGAATTTTCCCTTCTTCTCCTAGTGCAGCCCACCAGGGACAGGAGGAGGCTGCAGGACAGAAGCAAGCCAGAAAAACCCCGAATCACTGCAAAGTCTTTTCTGCTAGGCAAGAGTCGTTTATTACATGTCCACATACTCCACATCAGCAAACATGATTTCAGGAGATAATTTAATGATGTATTCAATAGTCTCATTTGATTTTCTCAGCGAGGACAAGGGTCGTACCTGTTCTTATTTCCACTCTCGCCATCGGAATTCGGCTTCGTCATGAGAGCTTCTTGCTCTGCTGGCTGGGACCAATTCATTTTAATATTTTGGTGCCATATTTCATGCCCAACTACAATATAGTATAATGTCAAATTCACCAAAACTTAGTTAACATCCTTGATGTTTTAAATTATCCCATTGTGAAAGGCAAAATAATGTTTCATCCATTAAAGCTTTAAACGATCCCTTCACATGTAGTTAAACATTTGGTGATGTTTATTTAATACATATTTAGTTAATATGCTATAATAAAAATAAATCAAGCATTTGCCACAATAAACTGTGATTTTTTTTTAGCTTTTGGTATAGTCATTTAATTGAATTCTAAATAGGAACATTTATTTATTTTCTTCATTAAAATATTGGTTGTGGATCAACTGTGCCTGAATGTGTGTGTGTGTGTATGTGTGTGTGTATATATATATATATATATATATATATATATATACATGAAACAAGATGACTTCAGGATATTCTTTTTTTTTTTTTTTGACAGGCAGAGTGGACAGTGAGAGAGACAGAGAGAGAAAGGTCTTCCTTTGCCGTTGGTTCACCCTCCAATGGCCGCCGCTGCAGCCGGCGCACCGCGCTGATCCGATGGCAGGAGCCAGGATCCAGGTGCTTTTCCTGGTCTCCCATGGGGTGCAGGGCCCAAGCACCTGGGCCATCCTCCACTGCACTCCCTGGCCATAGCAGAGAGCTGGCCTGGAAGAGGGGCAACCGGGACAGAATCCGGCGCCCCGACCGGGACTAGAACCCGGTGTGCCGGCGCCGCAAGGTGGAGGATTAGCCTATTGAGCCACGGCGCCGGCCCAGGATATTCTTAAAAACGATAATTTTTTTTTTGACAGAGTGGACAGTGAGAGAGAGAGACAGAGAGAAAGGTCTTCCTTTGCCGTTGGTTCACCCTCCAATGGCCGCTGCGGCCGGCGCACTGCGCTGATCCGATGGCAGGAGCCAGGAGCCAGGTGCTTTTCCTGGTCTCCCATGGGGTGCAGGGTCCAAGCACCTGGGCCATCCTCCACTGCACTCCCTGGCCACAGCAGAGGGCTGGCCTGGAAGAGGGGCAAGCGGGACAGAATCCAGCGCCCCGACCGGGACTAGAACCCGGTGTGCCAGCGCCGCTAGGCGGAGGATTAGCCTAGTGAGCCACGGCGCCGGCCCTAAAAACGATAATTTTGATTCTAGCAGAAAGTAACTTGATTTCACTGCAATCGTGTATACATACATTTTACATGTATGTATGTGTGTGTTTATGTATGTTTCTCACTTTAAAAGGCAGAGATGTCAAAGCAAGCTCAGTGATGAAAAATGGAGACTTCAAGTGGAGTTTATAGCACCTGGGTGATTAGTATCACAGAAGCAAACGCAACTATACTGACCTGAGTTTAAAAGCCAAGACACGTCACAACTTAATAACTGTCAGGGTTTGGAAGCATCCACTTCTTTCCACACGTGGGGCGTTCAAAGCTTTTACTTGCTTTCAGGAGAAACCCGCAGTGGACATCCTGCTGCGTTAATAGAGAAATCATGGGAACACAGGGTTCACTTCTCAGGCAGGAAGTGACTTCCAAGCATGGTTTTCATTGCCGCCAGAACGTCCTTGTTCCTGAAGCTGTAGATGACAGGGTTGAGTGTGGGGGTGACGATGGTGTAGAAGACGGCCAGGAGCTTGTCCTGGCCGGGGCTGTGGTAGGCCCTGGGTCGCATGTAGGTGAAGATGAAGGGCCCGTAGTACATGCCCACCACGACCATGTGGAAGGAGCAGGTGGAGAAGGCCTTCTTCCGTGCCTCTGAGGATCTCATCTGGAGGACGGTGTGAAGAATCCGGCCATACGATGCAGAGATCATGCAGAAAGGAACGAGCAAGAAGATGACGCCACTCACGAAGATGCCACGCTCATAGCGCGATGTGTCTGCACAGGACAACTTCAGCATGGCGGGGACCTCGCAGAAGAAGTGGTCAATGGCCCTGGGGCCACAGAAGGGGAAAAGGAGAACGGAAGCCGTGTGAACCGTAGAGTTGAGGAGCCCCACGAGCCAGGCACCCCCAGCCAGGAAAACGGCCGTCTTCTCATTCATCAGCATGGGGTAGCGCAGTGGGTGGCAGATGGCCACGTAGCGGTCACAGGACATGGCCGCCAGGAGGAGGCACTCACCGCCCAGCAGGATGAGGGACAGAAACACCTGCAGCCCACAGCCTGCAAACAAAATGGTCCTGCTGCCCGACAGGAAGTCGGCGATCATCTTGGGGACGATGTTGGAACTGTGCAAGATGTCCATGAGGGACAAGTGGCTGAGCAAGAGGTACATCGGGGTGCGGAGCCGCGGGTCCCTGTGGATGAGCGAGATCATGAGCACGTTTTCTGTCACCGTCAGCACAAAGATGGAGACTAGGAATGGGAAGAAGACCAGGCTGGCCTGGCGGGAGGAGAAGAGCCCCAGCAGAGTGAAGTCGCTCCCCAGACTGTGGTTCTCGCCGCCCTGCATGGGGGCTGCTGCTCCACCTGCGGGAAGACAGGTAAGTGGACAGACAGAAGGCCGGAGCCGGGCCTTGTCAGTTCTGTCATCCCCGTCTGCATAATCAGAGCTGGCTGCTGACGCGCTGTCAGCTGGGGTTGGGGGCATCCACTTGCACACACCGTGCTCGGAGCCTGTGTAATAGTGACGAGGCTCCTGCACTGCATGGGCCCCGGGCTCCTCCCTGAGCCTCCAGACCTCGGCTGCTCAGACCACTCTGGGGCCGGGTGCTCTCCCATGTCCCTCCCACCACGAACCTGCAGTTCCCGAGGCTCCCACCCACAGTGAGGCCCTCATCCTCCTACTGTCCTTCCCTTCCCGTCATACTGAATAGTGAGGACAAGGGTCATACCTGTTCTTATTTCCACTCTCGACACTGGAATTCGGCTTCGTCATGAGAGCTCCTTGCTCTGCTGGCTGGGACCAAACCACACCCACAACAGTGTTTGCACACAGCAGTTTCTCAGGGATATTTGCTGAACACGTGAATGGAATAAGTGAACTGTGCAACTTGAGTTTTAATGGACTTATCTATTAAAAAACGTCTGAAGAATAAAATGTAGAATTCCTCAGAAATAATAAAGGAATAAAATACAGGATCAGAAACTATTTGTATGTTTGTAATTTGAAACGTCATCAATATTTGAAAAGTAATAAAAGAAGGCTTTATTCAGTCAAAATAAACAATACAGGCCGACACTGCGGCATGGTAGGCTTAGCCTCCACCTGCGGTGCCAGCATCCTGTATGGGTGACAGTTGCAATCCCAGCAGCTCCACTTCTGATCCAGCTCCCTGCTAATAGCCTGGGAAAGCAGTGGAAGATGACCCAAGACCCTGGGCTCTGCACCCATGCGGGAGACCTGGAAGAAGCTCCTGGCTCCTGGCTTCGGATCGGCCCAGCTCTGACCATTGGGACCATTTGGGGAGTGAACCAGCAGATAAAAGACCTCTCTCTTTGCCTCTACCTCCCTGTAACTCTGCCTTTGAAATTAATACATCCTTAAAATATAGAAATAAACAATACATCTTTAGGAATATATTTTACTTCTGCATTTTTGACATATAGAGACTGAGTTACAACTTGTGGATTTGATGCATGGGAAATCAGTCATTACTGTTATCTGTTGGTGCTTGGATAATTGTTACTTAAACATTTACACCACGGTGGGCTGAGCATCTTTCGTGTGCATGCTCCTCCTCTGAGTATGAAAAACACATCCATGCACACAAATACAGCAACCAAGACTCCCTCTTTATATTCCTAATGTGATCGCTGGAAACAAGCAGCCAGAAACACGCCTGCCGCGACCTGAACAGCCGTGCTCAGTTTGAACAAAATGAACATAGATTTGCCACTGCCATGGAAATTAGTGTAAAAGTCATGTCCCTCTCACTACAAATGGCTCACCCTTGTCTGCCTTCATTGCACAGATGTTGCAGATGTTGAGCCTTCATTTTCAGTTGTCTTGTGGATTAGTGAAGATTTGCTAGATTTATGGAGCATCTAGGGAGGTACCTGCTTGCATGGCGCTGTCCGTTTTGACGGATCTGACACACAGCTCAGCAAAGTTTGGTGATGGGTACAGATTAAGACTGAAGAGTGGCAGTGCCCTGTGAGCCAATCACAAATGGGTTTCCAGAATCACTAAATACTACTGGCAATTCACATTCCGCATATCCGTATCCAAAGATGTTCATTTCCCCAGTTTCTTTTTTTTATTTTCTTTTATTATTTTTTGACAGGCAGAGTGGACAGTGAGAGAGAGACAGAAAGGTCTTCCTTTTGCCGTGGTTCACCCTCCAATGGCCACCGCAGCCAGTGCACCGCGCTGATCTGATGGCAGGAGACAGGTGCTTCTCCTGGTCTCCCATGGGGTGCAGGGCCCAAGCACTTGGGCCATCCTCCACTGCAATCCCTGGCCACAGCAGAGAGCTGGCCTGGAAGAGGGGCAACCAGGACAGAATCCAGCACCCCGACTGGGACTAGAACCCGGTGTGCTGGCGCCGCAGGCGGAGGATTAGCCTATTAAGCCACAGAGCCGGCCTAAATAGAACTTTCCCCAGTTTCTAGAATTATATTATCCTTCTCATTTTACTTTTTCAGTAAACTCATTAACTACTGACTCATCAGTTTGGCAGATTTCTGGCCTATATAGGTCTCATCGAATGCTTCTACAGGAATGATTGACTTGATTTTATGGTATTGGATATGAGAATATTTTTGAGTATTCAACAGTCGGTCCTTCCCTGTATTCCCAACTGGCCCTTATGCTTCTACAGAGTTCATGCTGTCAACAGTAGTACCGGTTTTCTCTCTTCAGCTGCTGGAATCGCTGCAATGCTCTGTTTATTTTCCTTGCCATCTTCCTTTCTCAAGCTTGTGTCCACTTCCTACCAATTCTTTAATCAGAGTCTGGAGTCTTCTCCCGTGATGCTGGAATTGTGGATGAGGTTTTTCCTTCTATACCACCTGAGGGTATTTGCAGTTTGGATGAAAACAACACTTGCATCCACAGAGGAATGCCCTGTAGTGAGTGCCTCAATTCTGCCACGAGGTGGAGAAAACAAGAGTCCCACCTGGTACAGCCTCCCCCACCTAGGCCAGCTCCTCCTGAGGTCAAGGTCCCACCTTCTGCAGCCTCCCCTGCCTAGGCCAGCTCCTCCTCAGGTCAAGGTCCCACCTGGTTCAGCCTCCCCCACCTAGGCCAGCTCCTCCTCAGGTCAAGGTCCCACCTACTGCAGCCTCCCCTGCCTAGGCCAGCTCCTCCTGAGGTCAAGGTCCCAACTGCTGCAACCTCCCCAGCCTAGGTCAGCTCCTCCTGAGGTCAAGGTCCCACCTGCTGCAACATCCCCGACCTGGGCCAGCTCCTCCTGAATTCAAGGTCCCACCAGCTACAGCCTCCCCTGCCTAGGCCAGCTCCTCCTGAGGTCAAGTTCCGACCTGCTGCAGCCTCCCCATCCCAGGCCAGCTCCTCCTGAGGTCAAGGTCCCACCTGCTACAGCCTGCCCTTCCTAGGCCAGCTCCTCATGAAGTCCAGGTCCCACCTGCTGCAGCCGCCCCCGACAAGGCCAGCTCCTCCTGAGGTCAAGGTCCCACCTGCTACAGCCACCCACACTCAGGCTAGCTCCTCCTGAGGTCAAGGTCCCACCTGCTGCAGCCTCCCACGCCTAGGCCAGCTCCTCCTGAAGTCAAGGTCCCACCTAATGCAGTCTCCCCCGCCTAGGCCAGCTCCTCCTGAAGTCAAGGTCCCACCTAATGCAGTCTCCCCCGCCTAGGCCAGCTCCTCCTGAGGACAAGGTCCCACCTGCTGCAGCCTCCCCCGCCTAGGCCAGCTCCTCCTGAAGTCAAGGTCCCACCTAATGCAGTCTCCCCCGCCTAGGCCAGCTCCTCCTGAGGACAAGGTCCCACCTGCTGCAGCCTCCCCCGCCTAGGCCAGCTCCTCCTGAGGTCAAGGTCCCACATGCTGCAACCTACCCTGCCTAGGCCAGCTCCTCATGAGGTCAAGGTCCCACCTACTGCAGCCTACCCGACCTAACATAGCTCCTCCTTAGGTCAAGGTCCCACCTGCTGCAGCCTATCCGACCTAGGCCAGTTACTCCTGAGGTCAGGGTCCCGCCTGCTGCAGCCCTGCATACCTAGGTCAGCTACTCCTGAGGTCAAGGTCCCACCTGCTGCAGCCTCCCCTGCCTAGGCCAGCTCCTCCTGAGGACAAGGTCCCACCTGCTGCAGCCTCCCCCGCCTAGGCCAGCTCCTCCTGAGGTCAAGGTCCCACATGCTGCAGCCTACCCTGCCTAGGCCAGCTCTTCATGAGGTCAAGGTCCCACCTGCTGCAGCCTACCCGACCTAACCTAGCTCCTCCTTAGGTAAAGGTCCCACCTGCTGCAGCCTATCCGACCTAGGCCAGTTACTCCTGAGGTCAGGGTCCCGCCTGCTGCAGCCCTGCATACCTAGGTCAGCTACTCCTGAGGTCAAGGTCCCACCTGCTGCAGCCTCCCCCACACAGGCCAGCTCCTACTGAGGTCTAGGTTACACCTGCATCAGCCTCCTCCACCCAGGCCAGCTCCTCCTGAGGTAAAGGTCCCACCTACTTCAGCCTCCCCCGCCTAGGCCAGCACCTCCTGAGGTCAAGGTCCCAAATGCTACAGCCTCCCACGCCTAGGCCAGCTCCTCCTGAGGTCAAGGTCCACCTGCTTCAGCCTCCCAGACATAGGCCAGCCCCTTACTGCAGTCAAGATCCACGTGCTGCAGCCTCCACCACCTAGGCCAGGTCCTCTTGAGGTCAAGTTCCCACCTGCTGCGGCCTCCCCGTCGTAGGCCAGCTCCTCCTGAGGTCAAGGTCCCAACTGCTGCAGCCTCCCATGCATAGGCCAGCTCCTCCTAAGATAAATGTCCCAGCTGCTTCAGCCTCCCCCACCTTGGCCAGCTCCTCCTGAGGTCAAGGTCCCACATGCTGCAGCCAGCCCTGCCTAGGCCAGCTACTCCTGAGGTCAAGGTCCCACCAGCTGCAGCCTCCCCCGCACAGGCAAGTTCCTCCTGAGGTCACGGTCCCAACTGCTGCAGCCTCCCCATCCCAGGCCAGCTCCTCCTGAGGTCAAGGTCCCACCTGATGCAGCCTACCCCGCCTAGGCAAGCTCCTCTTGAGGTCAAGGTCCCACCTGCTGCAGCCTCCCATGCCTAGGCCAGCTCTTCCTGAGGTCAAGGTCCCACCTGCTGCAGCCTCCCCTGCCTAGACCAGCTCCTCCTGAGATTAAGGGCCCACCTGTTGAAGCCTCCCCCGCCTAGGCCAGCTCCTCCTGAGGTCAAGGTCCCTCCTGCTGCAGCGTCCCCAACGCAGCCCAGCTCCTCCTGAGGTCAAGGTAACACCTGCTGCAGCCTCCTTTACATAGGCCAGCTCCTCCTGAGGTCAAGGTCCCAAATGCTGCAGCCTCCCCCCCAGGCCAGCTCCTCCTGAGGTCAAGGTCCCACCTGTTGCAGCCTCCCCTGCCTAGGCCAGTTCCTCCTGAGGTCAAGGTCCCACCAGCTGCAGCCTCCCCCGCCCAGGCCAGTTCCTCCTGAGGTCACGGTCCCACCTGCTGCAGCCTCCCCTGCCTAGGCCAGCTCCTCCTGAGGTCAAGGTCCCACCTGCTGCAACCTCCCTTGCATGGGCCAGCTCCTCCTGAGGTCAGGGTCCCACCTGCTGCAGCCTCCTCTCCTATGCCA